GTTTACTGTTCGGCAATGTTTAATTTGTTTGAATAAATCCATGAAGTTTCATTATGTTTATATTAAAAATGAATTGAAGTAGAAATATTATGTAATTGTAACTTTATTATTTTAAAAACTTCATTAAGTGTAATTTTAACAAATAAGTAAATTTTAACCTTCAATATTATAGTAATGTAGTACCAACTGACTTTCATGTATATTTTACAGCATTAGTTGAGAGATTTTTTTCCTTGAGAAAATTTGGTATGTACTGTACCTGATATACATCCAAAATAATCGGTTGAATCGAATCGAATCGGAAATCGAATCGAATCGAATCGCAAGCTTGTGAATGAGAATTGAATCGAATCGTGAAATTTGTGTCAAAACCCAGCCCTAATATATATATATATATATAGTTACTCGTGCCAAATAGCTGGAAATAGAAACAAATACCTTCAAATGTATTCTGGATTCCGTATTCCTTCAAACTTAATGTCATATTGCACAAAATTGCTGACAATTGCTGGCACTTTTTTGTGCAGCCAAATATATATTTTTCCTTTCTAGCATTCTAGAGAACTAAGAAAAAAAAAATTCCATCCTGTTGCTATTTAATTATATTAAAGCTTAAATAAGTGAAAACTTCCACACCTCCAACAAGCGTATCTTAACTCTTTGCACTTGTGCGCTTGATAACATAAAAAGATGTCACTGCCAAGCGGTGGGGTAATGCTTCTAATTATGTTGAACTCAAATAAATAAATTATTTTCACCGGGCGAGCATGACAGGTTTGCCAACAGCCTGACAAATTGAAGAATCGCTTGCAAATGCAATGCGCGTATATAACATACAGCGGTGGAGAGCCTCAGACAGGGCGAGAGCTTGACAGATGTTTTTTCCCCCTCCTGTGTTAACAGTCTCTGTGCTTTGCTCATAATAAAGCTCTGTTTGAGGAGTATAAGGTCTGTGTTGCAGTAAGCCCGATTGTGCCAAGCTTGATCTGGTATTCATTAGTGCTTATTACTTGTGACCTCACCTGCAAGTCGAGCCTGTCACGATTAAGCCTGTTCCTTTGGCACTTGCGAAGACTCTCCTCTGTGGTTATGGAAGATGACACCAGACAGACAAATTACACAAACCGAAGGTTTCAAAGTATGAAGCAAGTTGTCATTGGGCTGGTGCATCGATTAAGTCTACAGTACGAAAAACAGAGACAAAGAGATAGGTAGTTTGGCAGGGGCTTTCCAAAGAAACCATTGTGTCTGTGGGAGGAAAGATTTGATTATTAGTTTTTGCCACTAGCACAGATGAGAGGAGGAAGTCTCTGCGGAAAATAAGGAGGATGTGTGGTAGTGGGCGTGGAGCCGGCAGTGAGCTGATGCTGTATTCAGCACTCTCCAAAGGTCAACCTAAAA